GTCTGCTGGAGTGCAACACGTGGATGGGTGTTTGATGCGCAACGGAGTACATGGCTGGTCGCATTGGCCAAGCAGTACTGCTGCTGTGGGTTATGCGTGGTTTGATGCCATACTGCAGTGGCCTGTCTGTTTTCTGCTCAACGTTTGGCATTTGTGTGTGAGAACAATCTGGGAGCCACCAGCAGCAAGGGAGGACCCCTGACATGGGGAGCGCAGGTCGCCAATCCACATGGAAGTGTGGTGGTTTACATGGGCCAAGACGTGCAACGTTTTGTGTCAGTGTTTGGTTGCATGGACGGAATACCATGGGCCATGCNCCGCCCAACGGAGAGCTTGATGAATTGAGGCACAGAACACACATGGAGCACACATTCTTCTCCACAGACATCTGCATTTTCATTTGTTTTCAATCTAGCTCGTGGTACTCAGTTTAGTGGTGTGTATCGGAGATTCCCCATTGTTTCCACCCGCACCTATTCATGCATACGTGTGTTGTGGGATAAACTGGACAAACTGCGGATGAGCTGGGGTAGGAAAACAGTGCGGCCTCGGCGGCTGACTTGGGTATTGCAGTTGTGGCCCTGAGTGCTTGCCTCCCGACATTGCCAGAGTACGGTAACCAGGCGCGCAAGTTTTCCTGCCCCACGTACTGGGATCGAAACCAACACGCACATGAGCCACTTGTAAGCGGTCCCCTTGCAAAGTTTTCTGTAAATTCCTTAAAAGTCATGTGATTCCAAATGCCAGCCTGAGCCAATTCTGCCAACTCGACAGCCAATTCGACACCCGGACAGGCTGATTCGACACCCGGACAGACTGATTCGACACCCGGACGGGCCAATTCGACACCCGGACAGCCCAATTCAGGCCCAGCACAGCGCAATTCCGAGGCTCCACAGCGCAATTCTAGAACCTCCGGCGAGCCTGCCAGAGCGATTCAAGACCCCGACGGACCAATTTTTATGATGTCAGGAATAAAATCCAGGCTAATTCTGCGACAGAGCTCTACCCCAATCCAGCATAACAGGTACCGTCTTCTACATAACAATGATCATCGCCTATATCCTCCATTACATATCG